CGCTGCCGGTGTGAGCTCGCAGAGCCCGCCGCCCCGGGATCGGGGCGGGACGCGGAGCCGTCGCGGGACTCGCTGGCCCAGCTGGACTGCGGCGCCTGTTCCCAGGCCGCCACCCACCCCGCGACGAAGGCCTGGACCTTGACGGTGACCTCAGAGCTGAGCCGGAACTCCAGAATTGCCGCTTTTGGAGACACTTGCGGGGTTGGTGACCAAATGCTGTGAACGCACCCGAAGAAGCTGCTGCTGCGCCAGCGAGCTTTAGATTGCGCCGTTAAGAAGAAAAAAAGGCACTTTGAATTAGCTGCTTCCGTGGCTTTTTTCGACTTTTCGTCACTTGAAAAATCCAGGTGTGTGTGTAGTTGGCATACATCTTGTTTGGGCAATGCTCCCGCTATTTTCCCTTGCTCAATGTAAATGAACATAAAAGTCACGACATTCAACACTAAGTTTAGCTGCCGCATTTTAAAAGGCAACAACAGTTTACCTCTTTTTTAAAACTAAATTGTTAACATGGTGCCTTCTAATATTGGAGGAAAATTAGACAAGGAATGCAATGGACCGAAAGAGGAATTCTCTGCGCTCCGATACCTGGTAGTCAATTCAGGTAAAGCTCATGGTATAGGTCTCTGCGAGACGGACCTGTGGAATTCCAAAGATAATTCCCCATGCCATGTTGGATGAAGATCAGTTTCTCTTGTGTTCTCATTCGTATTCTGCCTCTCGCTTTTGAAAGCAGTTTGCAATTTGCAGGCAGGTCCTAATGCGGTGGGAAATGCTTTTCCTATGCAATCGCTGTTATTTCCTTTTTTCTCACCACAGCTCAGCCTGGTTTTGTTTTAGTAGGGAAGTTATTTTGTAGAGATCTTCACCACTTACTTTTACAAAGCCTACCTTTATTTATTGCCAAAAAGTATGGATCCAGTATACTGACAAGTCCAGAAAAATTACACATTTTGTAACCATGAACTACAAAATAAAATGTTTAGAATTTAATCATATGTAGCTCTCACTTGACTAGCAGAATGACTTGAAGAATCACACAATACATAGTGACCTCTCACCTATCACGGGAGTTACGTTCCAGAGACCCTGGGATAGGTGAAAATCTGAAGTAGCAATAAAGGAACAGCGATATAGTGAGGGACAACTGTAACGTTGCTACCCCGAGGATTTTTCACCTATCCCGGGGTCTCTGGGATTTAACTCTCGCGATAGGCCCGGGATCACTGTATAGGTGTGCAGAGTTGGAAAGCCACTGCTGTTGGTGCTAGATTCCAGTGTTACCTTAACAAAGTGTGCAGGGCCACGTGAACACTGGAGCCCCAAAGGTGTGCTCCGTCATGAGCCCCTCCCCAAGATGTGACAGTAAAACAGAGTGATGGGTTACCACTCTTAAGACTAAGGACACTTTGTTCCTATGTTGGCAGAAGGCTTCCTACCTAAGTAAATGCTGTATTTCCAAGATGATTTTTTTTTTTAATGGGGAAGGCCTGTGTCACTGGCTACATTTTTAGTCCCCCCCCCCCGTTAAAATCTGTTAGGAATTTAGAATTTGCATGGCTGATTTTGCAATGTTCAACACACTTTTATGTTGATGTTATATTGAAGTCTAGATCGTTAAAAATTCTGCTTCAACACTATCTTAAGAATTCATTAATTGAGCCGGGCATCAGTGGCTCACGCCTATAATCCTAGCTACTCAGAAGGCTGAGAGCTGTGGGTCACAGTTCAAAGCCAGCCCAGGCAAGAAACTCCATGAGAAAATTGGAAAGTGGTGCTGTGGCTCAAGTGGTAGAACGCTTGCCTTGAGCTGAAGAGTGCAGGGACAGCACCCAAGCCCAGAGTTCAAGTTCCAGGACCGACCAAAAAAAATTGAAAAATAAAAAATCTAGGTTCTATAAAACTCAAAAAGCACAATATTGTGTATTTTGATAGTGTTGTCTTAAAACGCCATATACAGTCTAATGTTTAATGTAGAGATTTCTATTTTACCTAAATGAATTCTCAGATTGTGATATTTATCTGTACTGTTAAATTCTTTCCACATGAAAGATGGGAGCCTATTCTAAGTCTCTGTAGCCCTTTTTAGCTTCTTGGAATTGAATTATAGTTTTATTTTATGCCGTACAAATAAATGATGAGCAAGTAAAACTTATCCACAAACCTGAAGCAATCCTGAGCATTTGTGTTTCTGATAGGGTACTGATAGATAATGTTTTTAATTCTGAAGTAAAGTGAGCTGGGTACCTGTTATCTATGCTAATCAGGGAGGCTGAAATGAGGACCACTGTTCCAGACTAGCCCAGACAAAACAGGTCATGTTTCAGACATAACTGGCACATGCTTGTCACCTCAGCTATAGTAGGATGCATAAACAGTAGGATCTTGGACCAGGTCTGTCTGAGACAATAGTCCTTACCTCAAAAGGGGTCATGGCTGACGCAGTAGAGTGCTTGCCTAGCAAGTTCAAAGTCCGGAATTCTAACTGCAACATTTTCTCACTCTGAAAATAGCTGTTACCATTTTCCCACTAATAAGGCCCAACTACACCAGTGTCCCTTTTATCAGCAATCACCAAGATTTCCAGTAAACTTATGTCCAATGCCAAACTGAAGCTGGCAATACAGTCATGGCTTGCACATAGACTAATAGGGCTGCCACAGACTAATAAAAGCTTCCTTATAAAATAAAACAGTTCGGCATCAGCATGGAAATAGGAAAGGGGTGGGATCTCAAACTGAATTTTTACTTTCAGTCCAAACTGAACCAAATGTTTTATTTAAAACAAGAACATGTCATGGATAAGAACTTTTGTCTTATTATAAATTAGAGTTATCTTCTACTTTCAACATTGGTATTTCCACAAAGCTAGTACGGAAAAGTAGGAATATATTTTGAAAAATTTAGGGGATATTTTGTCCATTTCTTCTTCAACTTAAGTGTGTGAAGTGATTGTCAGTAAAGTATGTCATTAATTTCTGGCTTACAGCACATTCCTTTCCTCGTAGAAACAAAGCAGTTTAAGTCTAAAGTGAGATTGCCAGAGATGTAACCAAGGCAAAGCTCCTAGCTGGACAACTAGAGCTCAAGGCTCAAGTTTTTCTTCAGAATAGGATTTTCCATCTGCCACACCCTGTTTGAAACCCTGAGCCTGCTTCCAATTACATTAGTTATTAAGTCTCCTCTGTAACAACAGTGTAACAGCATAGATAGGAAACATCGATGCAAGCACAGGGTTCACAAATGAAATCCATTTAGAAGACAGCAGTTCCCTGAACTGAACACCAACAGTAAGTGAACAACAACCCCTCCTATCAGATGTCATGGAAAGCAAGGGTTTTCTTAAGGCAAGCACTTGACGACCAGTTTTTGGTTTGTTTTTTTTTTTTTCCTGTTAATTCTTGCGTAAATCACATTCTGTATTCATACAAAAACAATGTTTTTTTTCCCTCTGACAAACTGTACATATAGAAACAAATTTCCAATTGGACATGAACTTAAATTATAGAGGTGCTCCATGTCTTGTATACTTAAAAAAAAAAAAAAAAAGGATTCCAGCTTTTATCTTCACAAAACAACATAGGAGTTGGAGCAATGAAGGTGGACAGGACAAGACAGCCGGCCACTCTAGGTGGCCAGCAGCAGTCTCTTCATCTCCAAGACCTCAGCAGGGGTTCCTGGGACACTCAGAAGAGTTCAGAGCTACATTGGTGCAGGCTTCTTTTTGCTTTAAGTCCACACAGATTCTTAAAATACTGTCCAGAGAGGCCTAGGGGTTAGCCTCCACTTCTACCGACCCCTACCACCACCTCCCCTTGAAGCACCTCTCCTTGGTGGCCCAGAGTTCATGTTACTCCCTCTACCCCAGTTACTGCCACTCCTGCCCCCTCGAGAAGGGGTGCCACTGCCCGAAGGTCCCCCAAAAGGTTCGTCTCTGTGGTATCCATCATGGTGGTCGCCATCCAAGGAGCTGGAGCGCCCCGATTTTGGCACTCTCTGGGAAGGTCCTGGGCCCCCTCGTCCTGAAACAAAACATTGATTTCACAAGTGACTTTTTGCATTAGGTGTTTGTCCATACCTAGTATACAGGCTTTCACTGATTACAGTAGATCATTTCTGGGAGGTTCTAAAGAGATTCAGAGCAATAAAGGTATGCCTCCACCCCCACTTCCTGACCTGAACCTACCCCATTCCCAGCCTAACACGTGGCCGTGGTCCCCAGGGCTGTATGATGGAAGACAAAAAGCTAAGAGGAAACCACCACACTGGAACATATGGAAGTGTGTCTGTTCTCCTTGCCACCTATTTTAAGGAAGTATTTCAAAGCAGTGGCTAGACTCTGAAAGTAATTAAGGCATCTGATTATATAAACACAATGGGATTGTAATTATCCATTAGAAAGAACGATACCATTTGGAAAGAAATGGAAAGACCGGGAAACAATCATGTTTAAGGAAGCCAGGTGCAGAGAGACAAAGGACCATGCTCTCCCTTCCAGGTGGAAGCCAGGTTTAGCCTATAAACTTCTAAGTAAATGTGTAGGGTAGAATGCAAGTGTATACAAATGTATTCACTGAAATACAGTAAATTCAAGGGAGATGTCAAATAGTATAATTGCTTAGAAAGGCAGAGTCAAAGTTCAGCAAAATCAGGTGTGGGTATTTGAAAGGGGGTGGTGTGGGGTCAAAGAAAAAGGGGTATGCAGGAAAGTCCATGAGACTAAGAAAGTCCATGAGACCACTAGGAAACCTGAAGTGGCATTGTGGCTCAAGTGGTAGCTAAAGAGCTCAAGGACAGTGCCTAAGCCCAGAGTTCAAGCCCCACAACTGACCAAAAAAAAAAAAAAAAGCAAATGATGTTAGGTTAGTGATAGGATTCCAGATAGGATCAGTGTTCCAGTGTTTACTGTGACTAGTCCATGACTATTCTGTGGGGCACTTTGGATTCCTTTTACACAGTTTAGGGAAATAAAGTATTTCTTGAAAAACCACCCCTCCCCCCCCCAAAAAAAAAGCAAAACACACTGGCTTTCAGATTTATTTCTACTAGGTTTGAATTAACTTGTTTTAGCCTTGGTCAAACATGTTAATTTTATCTTTCAAAAACATTTTCTCAGCTAAGAGCAAGTGGCTCATACCTGTAATCCTAGCTAGTTAGGAAGCTGAGATCTGAGGATCCTAGTTCAAAGCCAGCCTAGGTAAGAAAGTCTAAGATTTTTGTCACCAAATACCCAACAGTGAAACAGTGGCTAAAGTGGTAGAGCACAGGTCCTTGGCCAAGAGACTACAAGAGTATTCTTAGTGCCCAGTAAGCCTTTTCACAGCACACTGGCAACAAAATGTATTTGGGTGAAGGAGGTCTCCTGGTGATGCATCAGTAATTTCTGGAAGCACTGCAAATGTAACACCAGTGATGCATAAGTTGGGACACACAACAGTTGTGTTTCTTGCAGCGCCCAAGCACACAACACAGGCCACTGCCTAACCCACCTGAGGCCAGACTTGTAGTCAGCATTTGGTGGCTGCCTCCTGGCTCAAAGTGCTACCTTTTATAAAATACAGACACAAAAGTTTCAAAGTAGAAATATAATCTACTGCCATCCTGGAAACATACCCTGAGTACTGTGATCTGCTCCGAAGCGGTGTTCCTCCCAGATTTAAAAAAAAAAAAAAAAAAGGCAGCACAAGCAGGGTGCCAATGGCTATGACTGTGATGATCTAAGCTACTCAGGAGGCTAAGATCTGAGGATTGCAATTGAAAGCTAGCCTAGGAAGGAAAATCTGTGAGACTCTTATTTTCAACTAACCACCCAAAAACCTTAAGTAAAGCTGTAACTCAAGTGGTAGAGCACCAGCCTTGAGTGAATAAGCTCAGTGACAGTGCTCAGGCCTTAATTTCAAGCTCCAAAGCCAGCATTGAGGACAACTTGAAAAGCTCTAGATAGTCATCAGTGGAGGCAGGACGTCACTGCTGACCAGTCACCAGGAAGCACACATAGCAGAGTAGAGGAGCTCTTTGCAATTTGAAGAGTCAAATGGGAAACCCTGAGTAAACCAGGGATTTCTGGAAGCTGAGCTTCCCATTTCTGGGTACAGCTGCAGATATGAAATGGACCCAAAGTGATTTTACAGCAAACAATGCTGCATAGCCTAGAACCCAAGTATAAATGAGGCCTCCCGTGCCCATTCAGCCCCTGCAACTGTAACTGCAGGCCTCCTCCTACCTTTGCTTCCTCGGTCCTCAGAAGGGCCCCCTGGAGCCTCCATTTCTCTGAGGTCAGAAGTACCTGGCCCATCATGCCAGGGGCGCTTTCGAGGTGGTAGGGAAGCCATATCCATGCCTTGAAGAGAAGAGGACCGTTCTCGGCTGGCTGGGGAATGGCCATCATGAGGGGGGTGATCTGGGCGGGGAGGGTCACGAAAATGTTCATGACCTGGCCCTGAAATAGGAAGCATATAATATTGTAGCTGCGAAGAGCCTGAAATACAGTGTGGTTGAAAACAGATGGAAATGAATGTGGGAGGCCTGGCTCCGGTGTTAGAGTGTTAGTCCATTAATGAGTAAAAGCATCAGATATGGAGGTACAGTCCTAGTCTTGGACTACAAAGAGAGACACAGGTGCTGGTGGCTCATACCTATAATCCTAGCTATAGAGGAGGCTGAGATCTGAGGATCATGGCTCAAATGCCAGCCTGGGCAGGAAATTCCCATGAGACTCTTATTTTTTTATTATTATGATTTTGGGGTCCAATCATGGGGCCTGAACTCTGGGCCTGGGTGCTGTCCCTCAGCTCTTCAGCTCAAGGCTACCGCTCTACCTCTTGAGCCACAGAGCCACTTCCGGCTTTTTTCTTTTTTTGCTTATGTGGTGCTAAGGAATGGAACCCAGGGTCTCAGGCATGCAAGTGCTCTACCATTGAGCCACCTTCCCAGCTCTCCCATGAGACTCTTATCTCCAATAAACTTACTCAGAAAACTGGAAGTGGTGCTGTGGTTCAAGTGGTAGAGCACTTGCCTTGAACTGAAGAGCTCAGGGACAGTGCCCAGGCCCAGAGTTCAAGACCCATGACTGACAAAAAAAAAAAAAAAGTGGAAGGTGGTGGGAGGAGAGAAACAGATGGAAATGACACAGAGAATAGAGTAGAGAATCACTCAGGAAACATCTGGCTAACAGTCAGGTGTTAAGTCACACTATGAATTCATAAAATTATTGTATCGCCTATAATAAGAGACAGGTGTTGTCCAAACATAGCTCTCAGTCATTTTAGTCATACAATGTTTTGTTTTTTTCTTCCTAGATCCTTTTTTCGGTGGTATTGGGGTTTGGACTCGAGTCTTGAGCTTACCAGACCAACACTCTACTACTGAGCCTTGCTTCCATCGCTGCTTTTCATTGACTAGGACCTCACTTCTGGCCTGGGCCTGTGTCTATTATAGGCTTTTTGTTTTTGCTGGAATGACAGATGTGCTACTGTATCCAGCTTCCTTCATGAAGATGATGTCTCAGAGACATTTCTGCCCAAGCTGGCCCAAAACCATAACCCTCCCAATCTCAGGCTCCCACACAGTTTAGAATGACCGGTATGAGTCACTGTGCCCAGCATAGAAGTGGCCTTGGGAACTTTTCTGCCTAGGCTAAAGTTAAACCTCAATTCTCAGCCTCCTATGTAGCTAAGATTATTGGTATAAGCCACTGGTACGGTACCTGGCTGTACCTGGATGTTTTTATATTTGTGAAATGCTTTGTATTCTTAAAAATTCTGAAGCAGGCACTGGAGGCTCACACTTTAATCCTAGTTACTCAGAAGGCTGAGATCTGAGGATCAAAGTTCAAAGGCAGCCTGGGCAGGAAAGTCCATGAGATTCTTACCTCCAATAAACCACCAGAAATCCAGAATTAGAGCTATAGCTCAGAGTGGGAGAATGTTAGCTTAGGAAAAAAAAAAAAAAGGCTCAGTGACAGTGCCTAGGCCCAGAGTTTAAGCCCCACAACCAAAAAATACATAAATTACTTAAGATCCCAATGAGATTGTAATAATAAAAACTATTATCTTCACCCGGGCACTGGTGGCTCACGCCTATAATCCTAGCTACTCAGGAGTCTGAGATCTGAGGATCAAGGTTCAAAGCCAGCCTGGGCAGGTGAGCCCATGAGACTCCTATCTCCAATAAACCACCAGAAAACCAGAAGTGGCGTTGTAGCTCAAGTGGTAGAGCGCTCGCCTTGAGCTGAAAAGCTGAGGGACAGCGCCTAGGCCCAGAGTTCAAGCCCCACAACCGACCAAAAAAAAAAACAACTATTATCTTCAAATACAGATAAAGAATATTTTAAGATAAAGAAAATGTTAATTTATTTACCTTTATCTTACAAAAACCAGATGAGTAGGTGCCAGTGGCTCACACCTATAATCCTAGCAGGGGACTGAGATCTGAGGAGCATTGTTCAAAGCCAAGGGGGCCCAGGAAAGTCTGTGAGATTCTTATCTCCAATTAAGTAGCAACAAGCCAGAAGTGAAGCTGTGGCTTAACCAGTAGAACATCAGCATTAAGTGAAAGAGCTAAGAGACAGCAACCAGGCCCACTACTGGGACACACACAAGATGATGGTTCTTGCCTGTAATCCTAGTTATTCGGAAGGCTGTAATCTGAGAATTGTAGTTTGAAGCCAGCCTGGGCAGAAAATTCCATGAGACTTATCTCTAATTAACCATCAAAAAACTAGAAGTGGAGCTGGGGCTCTAGGGGTAGAACACTAACTTTAAGCAAAAAATGCTTAGGGACAGTGTCCAGGGCCTGATTTTAAGCCCCAAAACTGGTACAACAACAACAACAAAATGCATAATCAGTGAAAAGAATGGCATTATTTTATAATTGAACAAATTACCATCTGACTTGAAAGAAAAGGCTGAATTCTGTCACCTACTTCTAAACTCCATTTCCTGTGGTAAATTGCTGTGGTAGAGGGACAAGAAGACAACCAGCCCCCCAAGAAAGGACCTGGTGACGGTCCCTGGGACGCCAACTTTGTAAACTGCTGGCCTAGAGATTACATGCCTGAAGAGATAGCAAGCATATCTTTCTTACCTGGCTCTCGGTTTCCATCCCATGAGTCTGGCTTCCGTCCTCCTTCAAAGCGAGGGAACTCGTCAGGAGTAGGCAGTAAGCCTTTCCTTCCTCCTACACAGAAGGCAGACAACACTGTCACAGGCCACCCAGCTGCACTCACAGCCACTCCTCCTCAGTGCATCCCTGCTTACCTCGTGGGGTACCCCGGCCTCGGCCTCTGAGATCTCGTCCCCGGGCCGCTTCATCAGAAGCATCAAAACTCTCTTCTGGACCAAAGTCTTCAGGACCTGGAAAGCCATCCCTTCCTCTGGGGGGGACTCGACCCTCGTGTCTTGGGGGGGCTCCTCTTCTGAAGCTGTGAGGAAAGACCAGTATGTCCAAATCCTGGAACACCCTGTGACCCCAGGGATGCCAGAGGAATGTGACAGGAGAAGCTAAGGTACAAGATTAATGGGGAGGAAAAACAAAAACAAGATAACACTACACAGTTTTTTAAGTATCCACTTGATAATCCTAATATCAGAGGTCAAAGAGACCAGAAGGACATGTAAGGGAGGTGAACATTTTTAAGTGCTTGCATCACACCAAGTGTTTACAAGTATTATTTTGTGTTATTTCCTCTTCTTACCTTACCATCTACAGCTGGTCCTATTAACTCTTTCTCTGATGAGTATGCTGAGGACTGAGACCCAAAGCCACGTAGAAAGTACAGGCTGTGATTTGAACTCAGCCAGTCTTATAGGGGGAAGAAAGGGAGGAAGGTATGTGCATGTACATGCTGGCATGAATTCAGAGCCTAGGAACTCTCCCTTGCTTTTACCACTTCAACCACAGCTCAACTTTACAGACTTTGGTGGTTAACTGAAGACTCATGGATTTTCCTGCCTCAGCTGGCTTTGAACCAAGGCCCTCAAATCTCAGCCTCCTGAGTAGCTATAATTATAGGTGTGAGCCACCAGCAAACAGCTATCAACGAGTCATGACATTTACCACACACTCGTTACCCTGCTTCCCAAATATATTTCAATGTCAACTACTTTCGTTTCTTTGTTTAGTTGTTTTTCTTTTTTTTTCTTTTTTCTTTTTGGTTGGTTGTGGAGCTTAAACTTAGGGCCTGGGCATTGTCCCTGAGCCTCTTTGTGCTCAAGTGGTAGGCTAGCACTCTACCAACTGAGCCACAGCTCCACTTCCAAATTGGCTGGTTTTTTTGAGACAGGGACGCTTCTAAGCTGGATGTCCATAACAATACACAGGGCTCATCTTGCAGACAGACCATTAGAAGTTTGTGTGTGTGTATACATACAAATACATACAAATATATATACACAGAAAGAGACCGCACAATGCAAATATTATACCACTATACCATAGTATTATATACTATGCAAATATTATATCACTTTATATAAGGGATTTGAGCATCTTCAGATTTTAGTATGTCCTGGAACCAGTGCCTCTCAGATATTGACAGACAACTATATATTAATGTCAGGCAGTGCTAAGTACTACATAGAAATATAAAGATGGGCAGAAGATCTCACCAGAGTGAGAAACACATCTAGACAGGGTGTTCAAGACCCAGAAGTACAAGTGTTTCTGAAGAGCAGCACAAAGTTGGGATAGCACAAGCCTAGGCAGGCTATGGGCCTGTCACTGGTAGATAAAGTACAATTCAATGAGATATAACAAAATGTGAGAATTCTGCACAAGACAGAGAGTCACGTAATCAGTAACAGTTATTCAGATGCTAAGCTCTTGTAGGCACTTTAGAGCATGCCTGAGTATCATTGAGAAGCCCTTAAGAACACCAACGTTGGAAAACTGGCTCAGCAGGAGTACTTGCCCCTCATGCATGAGGTCCTGGGTTTGATTCCTCAGCACCACATAAATAGAAAAGGCTGAAAGTGGCACTATGGCTCAAGTGGTAGAGCACTAGCCTTGACCTGAACTGCTCAGGGACAGTGCCTAAGCAATTAACGGTTTCCTTTTCAGTCCCGTTTCCACAAACCCCATTCCCCATATACACACACTTCGACTCAAAAAGAAGAGAGAATGAAGCTGGGTGGGTGCTAGGGGCTTACACCTGTAATCCTAACTACTCAGGAGGCTGAGATCTGAGGATCACGGTTCAAGACTTTCCCAGGTGGGAAAGTCTGTGTGACTCTTACCGCCAATAAACTACTCAGAAAAAGCTGGTGGTAGAGCTCTAGCCTTGAGCAAAATGAAGCTAAGAGAATAGTGCCCAGGCCCTGAGTTTAAGCACCAGAACTAGCACAAAAGGGGGGAGGGGAGAAATGTCTTTGTTCTGCTCTGCTACCTTAGAGACTTATCAGTCATTCATTTTCTTTTCTGGTGCTGATAGGCTTGAACTCAGGGCCTTGGTGCTGTCCCTTAGCTTTTTTTGCTCAAGACTGGCACTCTATCAATTAAGCCACAGCTCCACTTATGGCTTTGAAGTAGAGCTGTGGCTCAAGTGGCTTATAGCAGTTAACTGGAGATAAAGAGTTCCACAGACTTTTCTGCCCAGGCTGGCTTCAAGCTGCAATCTTCAAATCTCAGACTCCTGAGTAACTACGATTACAAGCATGAGCCACCAGCACTTGGCTTAGGCATTGTTCTGAACACCATCTCTAGAGTGAGTGATGGCCAGTCCCGAGTGCCACATACTGGCAACAGTGGGAAATGTAGTAAGACAAGGGATGGACACAGAAGAGTAGTCGAGGCAGGAATGCTTAATGAAGGGGTTTTATGGCTGGCTTTCAACAAGCATACCCCTGAAAATGGAAAAACCCAGCCCTAGTTGTCTGGCCCCTGTCAAGAGAATGTTGACTATACTATCTACTCACAGATTTCTAGTACAGGTCAAAGAAGGTGACAGCAACTGGCATAGAGTAAACAATTATCAGAATTATAGCTCTCACTAGTTATTTTGAGTCTCTCAATATTAAACCAATTCATGGTTTTTTTTCTATTTTGTCTATTCTTTTTATGTTCCAAGCAAATTGAGTGTCCAAGTCTGTTCTAAACTTAAAACAAAGATTGTTTTCAGTTCAACTTGACTTTGTTAAGATCTTTACACAAGAACTATATTTATTTCCCAATCAGGGAAAATATATATATTTATTTTCAATCAAGGTATCGGGCTATTTCGCCACCTAATCAAGATGAACCTGGAAATTTTAAATCAGATCCAAGACATGGATCTATTTTTTGTTCTTTTTTCTCTCCTCTCCTCTCTAAAAGCCCCTTCCCCAAAACATGTCTAAACAGCAAATAAAAAAAGAACCACATATGGCATAACGTTGAAGTCTAAATGCAAAGCCTAGAGAGAACAGGCTAGTAATTATTATTGTGCTCTCCCTCAGCAAAAAATCACTTTTGCAGGGAGAACAGTTTATAACAAGCCCCGGGGAAGGTGTAGCAGACCCAACACAGTGTGCTTCCCACCTTTCTTCTCTGCGCCCTCGAAAACGTGGGTCCTCAGGATCCCGGGGGAATCGTTCATCTCCAGGTCTGCGGCCTTCCCAAGCCCCTGGTGGGCCTCGGGCAGCACCCCGGCCATCCCCCTCGCTGAATTCCCTGTGGTCAGGGGGAAATGGCGGCCCGGGCCCCCCTCGCCTCCACTTCTCTTCTTGTGGCAAAGGTCCTCCTCGTCCCTCAAACTCCCGCAACCGGTGGCCAAAGCGCTTGTCAGGATGGAAGTCATCTGGTCTGAAGTCGTCTGGGAAATCGGGGTGGGGGCCACGCCTGTCTGGGGGACCCCTGCAGTCCTGGCCACCCCGGAAGGGCCCTCTCTCAGGCCCATGGTCAGGGCCAGCACTCTGCTCATGCCGTCTTTCTGACATCGGGCCCAGGTGGTGGTTGGGAGGGCCACGGGATTCACCTAAAGAAAACAAAGCTGACTGTTACCAGAACTCCCAGGATGCCTGCAGGCCTGACCTGCCGGGTAAGCATGGTTCCAAGTGCACTCCTCCTTAGGAACAGTTCTGGCTTCTCAGAACGCTGAGGAGACATGCCCACTGAAGACCAGAGGCCTTGGAGCACAGATAATCTCAAGCAACTTGACCTGGGACAAATCATGAACCTCCAATGAAATCAGCAGTGGCCACCTCCAACCACATGCTAAAAAGCGTAAGCAAGCAACAAACAAAAATAAAAAGCTTAAGCAAGCCTCCTGGTGTAAGAATGAGCTTCCCTTCCCTAGCCCTCAGACTTCATTTGGTCCACAGACTCCACACTGGAGGCAAACATACAGAGAAAGGCAATTCTGCAAGCCAGGAGGCCTGGAGTGCATTGTGCAATTGGGAAGGCCACCAGGGTGAGCACTGCAAAGCGTCTCCATGCTGAGGCCACCCCTCACCCCTGGCTCATTTTACAGGATTTCCTAACTGCCTAGAAAGCTTAACACATCCTTCCACAGGGCTCATGGAGCCATAGGCCCTTGTCTCACTGCTAGATGACCAAACAGCCAGGCTGGGCTTCGGTTCCTAGGTTTGCATGCACACCTTTTCTGCTCCCTATGATGAATGATGTGCTTCCAGCGTTTGCAGACAGGAATCCCACTCAAGATCTTTGAAAATATTTGAATGTATGCAATATGCTCCAAGTATCTGAACTGGGGGTATTGCTCTGTGATACAGGGTTGTCTAACATGTGTCAGGCCCCAGGTTCAATTCCCAGGACCACAGGGAACAAAACAAACAAACAACTAAACAAAAATGAAAGGCCAGGGAGTTGTTTTCCCAGTGACTACTGCATAGTACACTTATGTTTTGTCAACATGTTATTTAAATCAAACTTTTTTTTTTCAAAAAGAGGCACAAAGGGACACATGCTTCTAAATCAACTATGTTTTTAAGATGAAAATGACAAGCTGGGTTCATGCCTTTTACTGCAGCTCCCTGGCAGAAAGTCCTCCATGCGTCAGTCAGTCATAACCTTGTCATCCGGTGTGCTCCCTTTCCTTTCTTTTAACCACCTCATTTACTCCTCTCACAATTTACCATGGATAAAAACAGAAATATTAGTATAAAAATATGCCATTAGGAAGTGTTGCTCCTCTGTGCTAAGGAAAGCCCCTTCTAAGTGATTCCCAATTTCCTCTAGTAGATGGGCTCTCAGTTTTCAGTGTGTCCCTACAGTGAAAGGCTTCTCTGGATTCATGCTACTTAAGTTTGTGAACCTTCACCCAGCTAACCTCTGGCCTGAGAAAGCTAGACGTGTTCTTCTTGAACATACTAATATATATTAATCCTCTCATTTTCTCTGAATACATGAAAGTACCTGCTCCCTAAGGAAAAAACCCACACTACAAATGGGAAGGGATGAGGCCATTACAGATGGGGCAGTAGAGCAGCTAATCAAGCTGGGAACAACAGGGACTTTCCTGGCTCTCCCTTCTTTCTTTGGGTTCTGGGGAGGGAAGAAAAGAGGGAGGGGAGGCAAGAAGGAAAGTGAAGAGAGAAGGGCAGAGAAAGGGGGAAAATGAAGAAGAAGCAGAACATACAGGAGATGGAAAGAGCATTTGTGTAGTACTATTTTCCTTAGGGTCCCTAAGCTTCCAAAGTGGCTCTTGACACTTTCTCTACTACGGCTCTCACGACTCTGTGTCTGTACTGACCCTTGCATGCAATCGGACGGGAAGAAACACTTCCTCAGTGACCTTGTCTTGCTCTTTCCTACCATTAGTCTCACATAAATTCAACACTGACCTCCAACACATAAACTCCAAAAGTCCAGAGCTATAAATGCTGAAGACTCCTCTTAAATTGCTAAGTTGGAAGTAAAAGCTTCTACTATGTATCTAACACAGTGTAGTAGAGTAGTTTTGTGAGGTAATCTCCCAGAATCCTGATTTACAGACATGTGACTTCTCTTCCCTAGGAGGGCTAGACATAACTGCTAGTCAACCCTGTACCCACACTCCCTCCATGTCCTCAACTCTCCCTTCAAAAGTGTACCCATCGTACATCCACTCCATCCCTGTTCCATAGAGTCGAGCTCAACTCCAATACTCTACAGGGCTCTTTCAACAAGAGGGATTATCTCTGAATTCCCATTACTCCACTCCCAAATAGAAGAAACCTCACCTCTTCATCTTTTATACTGTCAAAATAGGAAGCACCACACTTCATTGTTTCCTTCTTCTCAAATGGCGCACAACCATGTAAGCAGACAAAAATCCAATGTAGGGGTTGGGAATGTGGCTTGGTGGTAGAAGGCTTGCCTCACATGCATGAAGCCCTGGTTTGATTCCTCAGTACCACATAAACAGAAAAAGCCAAAAGTGGCGCTCTGTAGTGGTAGAGTTGCTAGCCTTGAGCAAAAGAAGCTCAGGGACAGTGCTCAGGCCCTGTGTTCAAGCTCCAGGACTGGCAAAAAACAAAACAAGAAAAACAAACCCAATGTCTGACATAAATTGGGGGACAGGAGAAGTGATAATAAAGGCAGCCAAAGTCCTGAATCTTTTGCCTTGTCAAAAAATTTAAACAGGGGTAACTCAACTCTCTGACAAGCCAGACATAGGCACCAGTATCCCACAGCACAGCAACAGCTTCCCTTCCCAGTGGTGCACAAGCAAGGCCTGGATGCAAATGCTATTACCAAAGCTGGTACAAGCAGTTTACCACAAACCAGCCTCTGTTTAGGAGCTCATTTCTTATTCCCTCTGGCCAGCATTGTTGACTCAAATGTGACAATGACAACATAAAATAAAGCTATTACCTGCAATGAATAAGCCTTGCTTTTCCCTGTGGTTCATGTGACCATTCTGTAAACTACTTACCAACAACTATTTCATGTGAATTACACATAACAGTGCTGGAGTACAATCTCTGATACAGCTAGTGATATTCACCTTTGTTAGGGCCAGGTCCTTGTCCAGGATTCAGAGGGGGGATACGGCCTTGTGCTCCCTGCTGCCCCAGGCCTGGTATCAGGGGTGGGGGGCCTGAGCTCTGTCCTTCCTGGGGGAAAAAAAATGGTTTTAAAGTAGGGTATGAAATCACAGACTTGTGCTTTATGAATAATGTGTCAAGAAATAAATACTAGGCTACCCCCAAAGCTACCAGTACTAAGTATTTAGCTAAAGACATGATAAACATATTCCTAAACTAATTCAAGGGAGATCTATTGCCATAATAAAGAAATCCCTTGTATCTTAAGCCTAATGATAGGTTTTATATAAAGCTAAATCTTTTCCCATAATGTCAAATGAGAAACAGAAAGCCAAGAATCAGCCCAAGTGCTCTGCTCTCACAGAGGAGGAATGACTGGCACAAGGAAAGGCCTAGTGACTCCTCTTTGTGGCCCCTCCCCAAATGGAGAGTCTCCCTACTTTCATGACTTTCCATTCACTTTCAAATAAACATAATCTGTTTATAAAAAAATTTAAAACAGCCAGGCACTGGTGGCTCACACTGTAATCCTAGCTACTCAGGAGGCTGAGATCTGAGGATCACGGTTTGAAGCCAGCCTGGGCAGGAAAGTCCTCATGAGACTCTTTTCTCCAATTAACCACTCAAAAACCAGAAGTGGTACTGTGGATCAAGTGACAGAGTGCTAGCCTTGAGCACAAAGAGGCTCAGGGAGAGGGCTCAGGTCCTGGGTTCAAGCCCCACAACCAACAAAAATAAATAAAAATAAAAGCAAACTTGGTTGTCATACTGATTACTGCCAGCAACAGGAAGTGAGCTCTAGTCCAAGTGACACTGTCCAAGTAATGTTAGGACAGGGCTTTCTTCTCCAGACAGGGCCCAGGATGAGAAAAGTGTCCTGCTGACTCCTACACCCTTCCCCTCATCTCTGCTCCCAAGTAGCCCACTTCTACTAAGAATATCCCCTTGCTGAGGTACTGCTAATGCCGTTATGCCTGTCCTGCCATCCTGCTGAGTGAGTTCAGTTCATGCAGCTTCTGTCCAATAAAAATGTGCAACCCTGAATTCCAGAGCTCAACTCCACTGTGTCCCTATTCCTAACATTCTGTTTTCTAGCTATGTCTAAGTTGATTTCCCATGCTGCCCAATGCAGGGCTCTTAACAAACAAACATTTGACTTTTACTTCTTATAAAACAAATAAAGAAGCCCGGTGCCAGTGGCTCACACCTGTCATCCTAGCTACTCAGGAGGCTGAGATCTGAGCATTGTGGTTCAAAGCCAGCCCAGGCAGGAAAGGTTATGAGATTCTTATCTCCAATAAACCACCAGAAAACTGGAAGTGGTTCTGTGGCTCAAGTAGTAGAGCGCTTATCTTGAGCTGAAGAGCTGAGGGCGCTGCCCAGAGTTCAAGCCCCACAACCAACCAAAAAAAAAAAAAAAAAGCAATCTCAAAGAAGATAGCAAAATTGTTCTCATGTCTCAAACCAGTCACAAAAAGAATACCGAGAAAGAGATATGATACCACTAATTTAAAACAGCCATTAGTGGCTCACATGTTTAACTTCAGTGAGCTAGGAAGCTAAAACAGGAGAATGAAGATGACCAAGGCCAGCTAGGGCTATGTAGGCAGTTCAACCCTTGCCTGGCTACTAGTCAAAAACCAGGATAGCAGTTTGGGAGGAGCATCCTTCATTTAACTCAAAGTTGCAGCAATTTCCACACAAACTGGTTGTATCTCAGGATAGCTCTTACCAACATCTCCCTGCTGCTACTTCAATAGCTGAAAACAATTCTACATTTATGTAATTAAAACCAACTAAATAGTTGCTTTAAATACATGTTCTAGTAAAAAATAAAGAACACTAAGATTTTAGCTTTTTAAAATATGAGCCAAGGTTTCTATGAGACAACTTCTGAAACACTTTCAGGCCCGCAAGCTTCCCAGACACGCCTGCTACCACTTGAGCAATGACTCCAGCCCTACCTTGCTTATTGTTCCCCGCCTGCCCACCCCC